CTCTGCTTGTTTCAACAGTTACATGATTTTCACTTGCACCACCTAGGACCTTACTAACTACAGGGGCTGGGCACAGACCGGGAGGCTTTGAATGGTGCAGTCAGTTAGAGGTTAAGATTTCCAGATCCGCTGTTTGCTGCTGACTTGGAGCTCTCTCATCTGTCCCAAGAAAACCTCCTCTGGTTGGAGGCGGGAAGATGGCTCAGGGCTGTTCCAGCTGGGGAAGCACATTGCCTGAGCTCCCTGCTAGGTAGCAAGGAAGCTGTAATTTCCTTTCTCACTTGGAATCTCCAGGGATTGTTTCTCTTGCCTGAGAGAGGAGGATGGAAGCAAGGAGCATGCTGGGATAATCTTAGAGCCACTTCAAATGTCCAGTTCCACAGTTCCTTAGCCTGGTGCTCACCTCTGGCTGTTTACTTCATGCAAAGCTGGACTTCCTACCCTGAAGATGAAGGAAGGCATAACCCTTTCCCAGAACAGCTCACAAGAGGAAATGTTGGCCTGACAACGCTAGTGAGTTTTCGGGTATTTTCTCATTAATGGTCCCAGGGAGTCCAAAATAGAGGGAAGAGTGCTTGGAGAGGGAAGCCTGAGAGTTTGGAAAAGGGCTTTGAGGCATTGGACAGAGTCACAGTCATTTCCTGCTGAGATTATCTGGGAGAACCAGCCAGCAACACTCCCTAAGCCAACTGGCTATGCTGGGATCTGGGCGGGACTGACCAATTAGTCAAAGGAGTCCCAGATGGTCAGAGACAGTTAATGATGTAACAGGCACATCATTTGTTTATCTGAAAGTCTCCAGAGCAAGCAGGAGAGGAAAATAAGCAAATGGAAATATTCTACAGCGGGTGGAGCAGCTAACTTCTTGGCTTTCTGGTCTGTTTCTGAGCTGAGGATGAGAATCTGGCAAGAGCTGGAGCTACTACTCTCACACTTTTTTTTTTATATATTTTTTCTTTTTCTTTCTCTTTCTCTTTGTCCTCTCTCTTCCCCCTCCTCTTCATTCCCTCCTCCTTCTTCCTCCTCTTCCTCTTCTTCTTTCCTATTTCTTTCTTTTTTTAAACCACTTCCTTGAAGTATGATGGACTCACTTTGAAAGTAAAATCTCCTCACCTATAGAGCATGGATTTTTCTGTGGAATCGCATTATTTGACCACAAATTTGTGTTTCATTAGCACTGGATATTTGTCCCTGAGGGATAAGGAATGGTAGAGGGAGACGGAATAGCTGGTATGGCCTTTTGCTGGTTGATTTGTCTTTCCCTGGGAAAATTGTCTGGCAGGGAAGAAAAATGCCAGTGAACCCAAACTGTTTTCTAGGATCAGTGGGTGACACCTTTGTTGGGGAGGGAGGCTGGCTGGTGTGTGGAACTTTGTCTCTTTTAGATATTAACTCTCAATCAGAGGTCATGGGAAAGAAAGCATCTGGCCCCAAATTGAGGTCAGAAGCAACCATTTTTTCCTGAGTTATCCCATTGTATCTTCCTGTACCTTTCTTAGGGCACGCCTGAGACTTCAGACAGCATTCTAGCAATTTGTGGGCATGTTTTGCAGGCCACAAGCTTATTGAAGGTGGGAACCATTTTTTGAGTGTGTGTGTATATGTTCTCTAAAATTACCAGCATAATTTTCTACACTTTGGAAATACTCAGTACATGTTTCCTGAATGACTAGATGAGGCACGTGGACTTTTGAAGGATGTAGACACACAAGATGAGCAGTAGAAGGACATGAAGTACAAAGCACAAGAGAGGAGAGTGAGGAGTAAGTGTGACCTGCTTAACTCTCCCACTCACCTAGGAGAGGTGTTGGAGCAGAATTAGAGGGAGTGGGAATCCTTGTAGGGCAGAGACCTTTTGTCCTTATCTAATAATTTCATTTTTCCCCCAGTGAGAACCAAGCCCTGGATGAGTGATGGACAGTCCATGTCTTTATGCCTCCTGGTCACTGGTCTTTCTGAGATGCTATAGAGGAGACTTTAACTTAGTAATTATTTGCTCCTTTTGGAACAAGATTGGCATGTGGATGTTCATTACAGTGCTGGTGAGTTAGGAAGTAAGCTCTTGAGCTGAAGTGTCTTTGTCCTGACTCACTAGCATCTGGGGCAAAAGCTTCCCTCCATTCTGTGCTTCATTTTTCCAGAAGTCAAGTCAGGCCTTGGCACAGAAAGAACCCACCGTGGGCTATTTCTGAGTCCCTAACTCAAATCATTGCCTTTGATGGCTCAGGAGACTATAGTGGCAGCAAGAGAGGGCTGGGTGTTCTCTGCGGGAAAGAGCAGCAAGGTTGTTCACATGTTTTAAATTATTTAGTTGCATCAAATATTCAGATTTGTGAGAACAACAGCAACTCTATTTAAAAACTCCAAGCATGCGATGGATGGACTCAGTGTTTCCAGGCAGTTCCCAGCTTCCAGCCCACACTCAAGGAATATTCTAAGAGTTACTCAGGCTCATTTGGGTCAGCCTCCAACACTTGCAAGTGCCCTCCAAGGCTGATGATACTTGGCGTATGATTCTCAGATAAGTGACTTTTAATGAGAAATCTCATTGCATCCCATACCTCACCTCCCAGAGAAAGGAGACATTCAACTTAGGGAACCAGGGTTGTGATGTTCACACAGAAGTCGTGAATTTTGTGTAGGTGGGTATGTGAGCTTAATCCCATGGGATTGTGCCTGTGAAATATGTGTGTGTGTCTCTGTGTGTTTAGCTGCTGCTCTTCTCACAAAGCTTCACCATCTTAGGTGAGACCCAATGTGACTCCTGTTGAAGTTGTTCTGGAAGCCAAGATACATGTCCTAATAACAACCATTTATTGAATGCTTCCTATATGCTTGAGAAATAAATTACTAAAGATATTGTATTGTCTAACATCCTCACTCAAAAAACAATAAGCCACGTATTATTATTCCTATTTTATAGATAAGAAAAGTAAGGCTCACAGATGTCATTCAAAGTCACATCAAGGTCTGGTCTGATTCCAAGCCTGGGATTTCTTTGCACCATACAGCAATGTCTCTTCTCTGGCAAGTTTCCAGGACTTTCCTACATAAAAGCTGGCAGCCCCATCAAAACACTAAATAATACTTCTCCCTCTATAAAGGTGACCTCTGAGGAGGAGAATGGGGAGAGTGTGTGGAAGGGCACATGTAGGGGATGGTTTGGGGGAAGCTGGAAATGTTTTATCTTATTTTCATCATGGTTGCACAGAGGTGCTCATTTTGTGTTAATCCATCAGGATGTATATACATAATTTTGGCTTTTCTTGTGTTTGTTATACCTCAATAAAATATTTACTTAAAAAATCCCTCTTCCTAGCAACTAATGTTGGAGGGGAGCCCAATATGTTCTAGTTAATCAGCAGGAACTCCTTGGACTCTATTGCATGGCGAACTTAAAAATAATACAAATATGTTGATACATTGACCTTTTGCAAAAAGGTTTCTAAGTGGATCATGTAAAAAGTCATGTAAAATAATGAAATAATACCAGTAGGAGGTGATCAGCATTGTAGGAAAGGGAACACATATGTTACTCTGTTGGGCATCACAGAAGGTTTAAGGCCAGCTTCTACTCTCAGCCAAGCTGAAGACATTGAGCATTTACTGGTCATAAGTAGACATTTGTCTTCAAATATATTGGAACTTGTAGGAACAGGCTCTCTTCCAATTTGGTGATCAATAAACCCAAAGGAAGTGAAAGTTCTCATGGGATACACCCTACGTTTCATGTGTGGGTAATTGAGATGGGAAAAACCACACTTGATCAATAACTTTAAATCTTTGGCCATTAAATCTTAAAGCTTTTAAAATGAATGTTTATATCTTTGTAAGATGGTTTAAACTTGGAGAGACCCATATATCTATCACCAGGATGCTTTTGTAATTGATTTGTAATTATGTTCCCTTTTGATTTCATGCACTTTCTACTGAGGCTAGATTCACAGCTTCAAAGAACACAGATTTTATTCTAGTTTACTTTAAACTGTAGTGGTTTTTAAACTTTCTGACTGGAGCAGCTACACATTTTCTCTATACCCTAGAGGCTCAGGAACCTGGAGGGAGAAATCACTGGACTATTCAGATCTATAAAACCCACTTCCCTTAATAGTTGGTTTTCCACAATTTGTGTCAGAAATAGCCAGCATGGCACAGAGCTGTGCTTCTGAAAATTTAATGTGCATACTTATTTTCTAGGGATTGTGTTAAAATACAGATTCAGATTTAGCAGGTCTGGGGAAGGGCTTGTGATTTCACATTTCTTAACAAGCTCTGAGGTAATGCCAATGCTGCTGGTCTATGAATCACACTTGTAGGGAGAAAGGAATATTACACTTAGAATAAAAACTTCTGTGTTTTAGCACTCTGCCATTTACTACTTTGCTTTCTTGGGCAAGTCACTTTACCTCTCTGGATTTGAGTTTCCTCAAATATAAACTGTGTGATAGGGGACAAGGGTGGATCAGACTATCTCAAAGCTTACATTCATGGAATTTTCAGAGTGATATTTTGATTTAAAAAATCTGCACGAGTGGGGCCGTGTATAGTCTTGCAAGAGACTAATAGATAAAACAGTATTAACAATGTAGGAAATATAAGAGCTGAATGAAGAGGGCAGAGAAAGGTATGAGGAGCAATAATGATTTTTATGGCAAATATAAGGTTCTGATTCTTTCAAAGTGGTGGGTTTTGGATCAAAAAATGTTGCCTAGAGAAAGGCTGCACAGGGTTTCAAAGGATTGAGAGGCTGGAGAGAGTGAGTGAGAAAGGAACACAGGTGATTTATATGAACGAACGAAGCTCCTGACAATCTGAGCCTCTGGCGGCGGCCCCTCCCCCGCTCTCACTCATCGATTTTGAGCAGCAAACTGAATTAAATAGAAAGGGTTCCCCAGGCTCACAATACGGGTTAGTTTCTCTTTAAGTCCAAAGCCAAGTGAGGGGAACGGAGAGAACTCTAAGTGACAGCGCCCTCTCCCAGGATTGAGAGGGGGCGGGGGACTAGAGGAGATTCTTACCTTATGCAGGACGTGTTCATGGAAGTCAGGGCCAGCTCCCCCCTGGTAGGAGTCGAGCTGGTCCATGCCCGGCTCTGAGCCCGCGGCTCCCTGCTCTCCCAAGGCTCTGCTCTGAACCAGTGCTTCCAGAAGCTCCGTCCGGGGCCCGCGGGGGGCAGCAGGCTGCGGTCTAAGCCCGGCAGGCCGGGCCACATCCGGTTCAGCACTGGACAGCTCCCGAAGACGCTGCGGCGCTGTACCCGGACCGCAGGCTGCTGCTCCCTTCTGCGGCAGCGGCGTTTCAGCACCAGGAACAGCGTTGCCGTCCCTTAGCGCCTGGGACCAGAGTTCTGAGATCCCGTCTTCTCCTAAGTCCCCTGTCTCGTGACTCCAGGATGTTGGGAGGGACGCAAGATTTCAGTCTAGCCTGTGGTCGGTACGTATCTCATTCAGCTACCGGACTTCACAGCCTCAGTGACACAGTTGCGTTCTCAGGGCATTGCGGTCCCGGGAGTTTACCATTCCTGATTCTCAGTGACCGAGCGTCCCTGTGACAACACGCAGCTCAGCTCTCCACCTGCCTTGCAGAGGCGAAGCCCCGCGGGGCCGGCACTGCTTCTCTTTTGGTCTCTGGACATTTCCCTCTAGTATATATGAGGTCGATAAATGATGAGTCTCAGGGGTCCCTAAAGTTTCTGAAATATTTTGCAAAATTCTACTTTACTGCTTTTTTTTCTAGGGAGAGGGTCCAGAGCTGACATATATTAGGAACTCAAAAAAAAATGTTAGATATTGTGCTGTCTGGGCAAGGGGATAGGGAGATCTGTCTACCTCTCTTAAACACCAGGAGAGTCTTGCTGCTAGGTCCTAATGCAATATCTAACATTTTTTGAGTTCCTAATGTCAGGCAACATTCTAGGTTCTTTACATGAATAAACTCATTAAATCCTCAGACCAACACCATGAGGTAGGTACTGTTATTATCTCCATTTTGTAGACAGCACTGTATATATATTTAACTAAACTAAATCCACCTTCAAATGACACTAGTCCTGCTTCATGTGTAGTGTAGGTACCTTAAAAACAGTATTCCCAATTCTTCCCTCTCATCCCTTGTGACACTGCTGTCATTTATTTCACTTATCCATATGCAATAATCATTAAATACATTGTTTCTATTGTTACTTTAAATAATCATCTTTTACATCAGTTAAGAATAAGAAAAACAAGATTTTATTTTACCATCATATATTACTTTTCTGATGCCCTCCCTTGATTTATGTAGATCCAAGTTTCTGATACATGTTATTGTCCTTTGCCTGAAAAATATCATTTCTTGCAAGGAAAGTCAGCTGACAGTGAATTCCCTCAGTTGTTTGTCTAAGGAAGTCTTTATTTATTCTTTATTTCTGAAAGCTAATTCAGTCAAATATAGAATTCCAGGTTCGTGATGATCCCCCCACTAATTTAAATACTTTATGCTACACTCTTCTTGCTTGCATACTATGTGACAAGAATACTTTGCTGTAATTTTTTATCCCTGTTCCTTTACTGGAAATCTACTTTTTCCTCCTTTGGCTTCTTTCAAGATTTTGTTTTTGTTTTTCCTCATTTTGAATATGTTATAACCAGATGTAGATTTGTTTAGTTTGGTTTTAGTGTTTGGTATTTATTGTGCTTGGTCTTTTAGATTTGATTTCTGTCATCCCTTTAGGAAAATTCTCAGCCATTATTACTTCAAATTATTATTCAAATATTATTACTTTAAATGTTTCTTCTGGTACTTTATTTTTCTTCTGGCATTCTGGTCTCATGCTTATTACATCTTTTAAATTGCTCTATAGATCTTGGATTTTCTGTTCTGCTTTTCTTTTCATTTTGCTTGGGAATTCTCTACTGACCTATCTTCAAGCTCACTGATACTTTTCTTAGCCAGGTCTAATCTTCTGTTGAGCCCATTAAGGTCATTTTTCACTTCCATTACATTTCTTTCTGCTTACATTGTCTGTCCTTGCATGTTGCCTGCTTTCCCCATGTTACCTCTGAACACATTAATCACAGTTTTAAAAAATTTCATATCTGATAATTCCAACATCTGTGTCATATTTGAGTCTGGTTCTAATGTTTGCTTTGTCTTTTTATAATGTGTTTTTCCTTGCCTTTTGGTGTGCCTTGTAATTTTTTGTTGAAAGCCAGACATGCTGTATCAGGTCATAGGGGTTGAGGTAAACAGGTCTCCAGTGTGAGGATTTATGCTAATCTGGCTAGGAGTTAGGATTTGTTCAGAGTTTGTTGTAGCTATGGGTGTCAGAGACTTTGAATTCCCTTAGGGTCCTTGTTTTTGTCTCCTCTCTTGACATTGATCTTCCCTAAATAGTTCTACATCAGAGACAGTGTGTGTCTTTTAGCTCTTTCAGCTATAATCCACCATTATTATATTGGAGATTTGGTGTGGGATGGGGGATGGTCCGTCATGTTCTAATTAAATTTCTTTTAATGAGTTGTTTAGTGGGTCTATGTCTCTGCCTTGTTACTTCAGAAATATATCTTCTTGCACAGCTTTTTGTCTATCTCCCTTATGTGACACAGGAAGACCAGAGGATCCCAGAGGAATACTCTCCCCTCATGGTTCTGGGGCAGGCTCTGGTACTGTCTTTTCTTTGCAGAAGAAGCTTTTGTTATGAAGAAAGCTCTGGGCATATTTCACTAGGATTACTCTTTCCCTCCCCCTGCCAGAGGCATAAGGGTCTTTCTTGATCTTTATTGTGAGAACCTGATGGGGTTCCTGGAAGTAAAGTCCATGAAAGTGTGAAACCCTCCTAAGACTGCAGCCCTCATGGGTTTCACACTCTCACATTAGCCCACATTCAGCCTCCAGCAATTCCTCAAAATTACTGTTCAGTTGTTCCTACCAGTTAATGGCTCCAGTGGCTTCTTTTCCTGGTAAGCAGATGTTGGCTGTGACTTTCTGGAGTCATCTGTCTCTCCAGATTTCAGGGTAGCAGTTTCCCCTGCAAACTCAGGGTCCAAGAAAAACAATTGATTTTCAGTTTGTCCAGGTTTTTCTTGTTTTAAGGATAGGAGTGATAACTTCCAGCTCTTTATCCATCAGAGTTAAAACCAGAAGTCCTTCATTTAGAATTAGAGTATCATCTTTCCTGTGAAAAATACCCCCCCAAAAAACCCCCAACAAACTAAGCAAATGAAAAGTTTGATCTCCAGTCTCTTTTTCTGGGCTTCATGCCTTCTGGACCTTTTGGTAACATTGTAAATTAACATAATAATTTTCAAAGACATATTATTCTCATAGTAGTTATATTTTGGGTTGGATTTTTTTTTGATATTCGGGGATAGTCAAATATCATTGGCAAGTACATTTGTTACTTGAAAACTTTGGTTTGCCTCTTGGTGGGTGTTGAGCCAAAAGACACAACCAAGCCAAAGATGGGGAGAAGGAAGGACTTACTACTAACAGCAAGTAAGGAGAACATTTAGGGATACTTCTCAAAGCCGTGTCTCCCTAACAGCAGGACTGGGGAAGTTTTAAGCTAAGGGTGCATGCATATTCATGAAGGGGCTTGAGCAGAGGAGAATTCAGCATAGAACTGGGGCAAAGGCTGACAGAGTCCAGGCTCTTGTTGACTGGACAATGGTCAGCAAAGGTCAGCATCATCAGTCCTTAGGTTCCAGTCAGTCTGGTGGTTGAGTGCTCAAGGGGATTTGGATCTTGCAAAACAGCTCAAGAATGTGCTTTAGGCTAATCTTTACCTTCGAAACAGAACTGGGAATCTTTGCAACTGATAGGGTTATCTCCTTAGCCTAGTCATAGCTGTTTGTTCTTAGCACTTTTTTCCCTCTTAAAATCATTAACTTCAGAGACCTATTCTGTTCCAAGGGCAAGCATTGTGGCCAGGTTTAGATCACAAAATGGCTTAGGCCTAAAGTGACTTCTCCTGTGTCAAGGAAGCAACGTCTGGTTCGCTTCCTCTTGATGCAGGAAAACGGATGTGGGGCATAAGGAGGGCCGAGTCCCAGGTCTCGGTTGAGCCCCTGGGATGCGCCCTGTCAAGTGTGGGTTCTTGACTTTGTGCAGGAGAGAATTCAAGTGTGAGCCATCGTTGAGTAAAGGTAGATTTATTTAGAGAGATACATACTGCATTGAGTGTAAGGCAAGAGAAAGGCAAGGAAAGAGATATGGGAATTGGGTGCTCAGGTTAAAGTAAAAGTAGGTACACACTCCATAGACAGAGCACGGGCTGTCTCCAAAGGGGAGAGAGAGTGCCAAGGGCCACTAGGCATGGTGTTGTCACTTTTTATGGTCTCAGTAGCTTCACATGCCTACAGGCGGGATCAATCCAACTGCCCTGGGGAAGGGGCTGGGATTCCCAGGGACTGGGCCACCTCCTATTCTTTGGCCTTTTGCTGTTAGCCTTGGCGCTGTCATGGCGCCTGTGAGCATGTTATTTGATCACGCTGTTATAATGAGCATATAATGAAGCTCAAGTTCTGCTAGAAGTCAAACCTCTTAATCCTCAAGGCCAGCTAGGAGGTGAATCTTCCACCATTTTGGTTGTTGTCATTCCTTGAGTGGCTGTGACCTGCCCCCTTCTCTCCTGTCTCACTCTGGGGACCCTTATCTGCCTACACATTTGCAGACCTATCTCAGAATAGAGATTCATTTTATAGAGCTTCTAGTCTAAAATTTTTAGAAGTAATATTTTCTTACACTGTGATGAAATAAAATCCATATTTTATGGCAAAACAAGAAAAATCAAAATATAAAATTTTTCTTTGCCTGTTTCTCCTCCCTCCTCCTCTTTAGTGTGTATTGTGAGTCTGCATTGGCCAGACCTCCTTAGAAGATAATGTTCCTTATTAATCTTGTAAGGGGTCATGAGGACCTACTACTCATTTTGTATGTGCAGATCTGGACTGTGTAAACTGTAAATACATCATCTGATGTATAACCCTTTGTCTCAAAAATATTCATAATTGTATTTTGACCACTAATGTGTGGAACAGTCCTCAGAGCTTTCTGAAAGACTGTCTCCCATGTTGTAATCCTTAGATTGACTCGAATAACATTTTCTCCTTCTTTCTTTGATCAACCATTGATTATATTTTTGTCAACAACTGTCTCCATGTGCTGAAGAAGTAATTTATTTGCACCTGGACTCTCTTATGCCATGTTTCCTCCAAGAGGTAGAGGAGCTACATTCAAATCCAGCTTTGTTGCCAGCGGCTTATTCTCCTGTTCTGGGGTCTGCCTCTTGGCCCACCTCACTCTGCTGGGAAACGGTATTAGATCTACCCAGGAACGTGGTTCTCAGAATTTCTTCTTTCAACCCTTGATTCCAGGGTCAGTGAATATTAAATATTCTATGCTCAGTTCCCCTTCCTTATCTCTGCACAAGTCCAGTGATTAGAAGTGTTGGG